AGAGGGAATCTGTAGGTGGAAACGGGTGGTTGCAATGGACATAGGAGGTAGGTAATAGACTAACTAACGGCAACTCTTGAGAGACCCTATAGTTAGTCCATCATGAACCCCCTTAGTCTATAAGAACCAGCCATTTCGACCGATAGGATCGCTTCATATTCCCTATGTCTTCTTTGTCTATAACTTTGTCTATCAATTACAACGACAAACCCACTGCATCCCTGTTGCCTCTAATGACCCGCACCGAAAAAAAAGGATGCTGATTTAACATTCTGGATGTAAAAAAGTATGCGACAACTCACAAAACCCTGAATTAACCGCCTCAGCAGTTACCTACTTTAGCAATGTCAAGATGTAAAACTAACTGCTATGGAGTTAACGCACACTTTTTTACATCCAGAATGATAAATCAGCATCCTTTTTTTCGGTGCGATTCCAGGATGTAAAGTGTGGTGACGTAAAACATACTAGAGTGCCGTCTTCAGGAGAGAGAGGCAAAAAAGGCCAAATTGACTTTACGACCAGCAGCAAAAAAGGTCGTATTTTTTTAAGAGTCCGAATGCCAATTGGATCGCGTTTAGCAGAAAGGAACCAAGCCGAATCAGCTATTGTTAAATTTAATTGGGCTATTTAATTTTTTTACATAAAAACGGTTGTGCAAATTTTAGTGAATTTTCTGCACACCTCATACGAAGCAATTTCCTTAAAATTTGCAAAGGAATCCGCACAAACGTTCTCTGCGTGCCTCTGATGATCTGATTTCTGGATGTATAGTGTGGTGAGGGAAAAAATACTAGGGTAGCGTTATCGTGAGAGATAGGAGGATATATCAAATGAAAGAGTAAATATCGAAAGACCAAAAATCCAAAAACATAAAAGGCCAAATTGACTTTACGTCCAGCAGCAAAAAAAATGTCACACTCTTAAGCTTTCCACATACCAACTGGATCGAGTAAAGCAGAAAGGAACCAAGCCACATCAGCTATTGTCAAATTTAATCTGGCAGTTTAATTTTTTACGTGTCCGACGTGATTTTCGTGCGATTTTACCTGTAAAAAGTGTATTTATTTGGACGTATTTATGCTAAAAGGAACTATGTTCCTAGTTCCTTTTGGCATAAATGCGTCTATTTGGTTGTATCTCTTGCGTACAACAGACCCATTGGAAATATCCAAAACCCCAACACCAAAAAAACCCCAAACCCCTCAACCAAAAAAACCCCGTGGTAAAATCCAAAAACCCCGTGCTATTTCTCTCCATGACGTGAGCACTCTAAGATGAAAAACTGAATCAAATGAAAAATTCATCATCTCTCGATCAATAATTCCTCAAAGTCGCAACTACGCTACCGTGCCAAGGAAAAACCTCGTATGAACATTCGAGAGTTGCCGAATTGCCTTCCATAAAATGTCCATTTTCGCGGAATATTATGCATATTTTTCCTTGAAATTTCCTGGTGTTTCAGATTGATTTGTCGACAAAATTGCCGGAACAATTGGAGGAGTATTATTTAAAATATTCTCCGTAAATTATTGTTTTATTGAAGGCAATGCGGCAACACCTGAAGGCTCATACGGCGCTCTTCCTTAGGACGGGAGCACGGACCGCACTCCTGCCCCGCGAGCCGCGACAGGAACATCATGAAAAACTCGTCGTTCAAATCAGCGCCGCGCTAAATCCGTAAGCAATGAAGCGGCGCAACAATAAATATTTCTGTCGCATCGAGGCGTTTAACGCGCGGGGGAAATCGAAATAAAGGAAATGAAAAATAGGGACGGACGCGGGAGCAAACGGGGAATTAAGGAGGGAATGATGAAGATAAGGCCAAGGGAAATTCAAACACGACCGAAAAACACGGCGGCATCGGGGACCTCGAGCTAGTGCTCTCTCGTGTAGGTTATGACGGATAATTTCTAAAGCTCCAGCTCCGGCTCCGAAGGGTGCCAAATGCTGGGGACAGCTGTCGCGCATACGGCTAAAATATTACTCCCAAGCATTCGATTTCGACTAAGTTCAGTTCTCCAACACAAAGCAACCCCTTCACTATCGCTCCATACTACCCGCTTCACGGCTCCACTCTCCGCCTCGTTAAATCTCGGGAGCTTTATTTTTCAAGTTCATAACTCCGCGAGGGCATTAATCCCTCCGGTGCCTACCCACCCTGTCCCCCTGTCCAATTTTAGCCTAATTACTGACGTAACATCGTCCCTCGAAAAACTCACCCTCCCGGCCACGCACAGTGGATCGAGTCAATCACCGAGGTCGCACATGAAATTTCTGACTAAAACTCCGAATTGTGTGTATGTATATGCCGCTTTTACGGCGCGCTAGGGCGCTCTACGACGCCTACTCTCCAAAGGAATCTGTCATGGTAGAGATCTTCCGGAAGCTGGCATCTCTCTATCTTTTCACGGATGCAAACTGCGAATTTTTATGTTTATTTTGTCATTTTTAAGCGATTCACTGCGTAAGTATGATCGCTTCTTCCGATCAATTTACTACTATAAAGATCCATGGCTAACCCGTTTGATCGAGGCAAAAATATCGCGATCTATATAGCATACTTCAAATGGTCCGTTTACTTCTGGACGAAAGAACAGTTCAAATGAGCAATCTTCCAAAATCCAGGCTCATTTCAAACGAATATCATTTAACTTCTGAGTAATTATTAACGTAGAAACCGTTTTTACACGCGCTCAAAGTTTTATACGTCGATTAATCGATCCTCGATTGTGAGGTCATGAAAACTCGGAAAAGAACTCAGCCGATTTAAGAATTAATTTTTGCTCTCACGGCATTGCCATATTTCAACTCGCCTCCGGTCGAGTAAATTTAATAAAACTATTCGGGGAAACATTGAATCGCTTCCTCATCCGACACCCGAGGGCCGGAGATGCCAGCTTGGTAATGTTTACTTCGTCACTTTTTAAATTTTAAGGGGTGGTACTAGAACAAAATTTCACGAGGAAACAAAGGGAACCGCTTTCAGAACCTCAAAGTTGTGTATAAACGTCGTTATAAGCTTTTAGAGATTCTAAATTTAGTCCGATCTTTCCTAATGCCTCGATCCACCGTGCGGCAATACCGAGGCCGCCAATGCGGTTGACTCTTTCCGAGTCAATTGGGCAGCCGATTGGTTTTCTTTAGAAATCTCGTCGGGAACTTATTGCCCGTGTAAGATAAAATGCGCTCCGGTTTGCTCGCGATTTGTAAGATTAAACACGTATATACAGTCCTAAGGCCTTGTCTCCACGGAAAGCTTCATGGGATCTGTTCCGAGGAAAAATCTCACCTGCGAAGTTGGAAAAAATATTGAGTCAGTCGATACTAATCACAATGCCAACCATGAGTCCTCGTAGAGTCCCAGAAGCGACTTTAAAAGAAGAGCAAGAAATTTTGTTGTGTTGCATAACGGGGAAAAGCTCAGAAGTTTCATTCCTGCGCGTCAAACTTGGGAAAACTCCCGGGAAACATCCCTTTGGAGACAAGGCATCTGAACGAGGATTTCAGCCGAGATGACAGTATCATGATGGCATGAAACATAAGAAAGAGACGAAATATTGGAAATTTCACTGAGATATTTCATGAAATTTCACGAGGCTGTGAAATATTTCATATTTTTCAGGGGCTAGAGTATACCCGTAATACACGAAAATAGAAGACAGTCACAATTTTTACATTTTGCGAAACCGCTATTATTCGATATCCTTCATGAATTTCTGTAACTTCACGAAATATTTCACGCTTGAAGATTTTATTTTTCATGAAATTTTGCTATTCTGGACAGTATTTAGGGAAAACATAGGACATATAGTTCTGATTCTCTACATGTTTGGAAGAATAATGCAGTGCCGAAATTATAACGTAAAAAATATAGAAGTGAAAAAAATGAGGATAATTGGACCGCGTTAAGCAGAAAGGAACCAAGCCACATCAGCTACTGCCATTTAACGAGGCAGTTCAGTTATTTTCATTAAAATGGTTTTGGGGATTTTCGTGCAAATTACAGGAAATTTTCCGCATGGTACGAAGCGAATGCCTGAAACTTTTCAAAGGATTCCGCGGAAACCCGCTCTCGTAAAAAATGAAATTTCCTGGTTCAATTTAGCAATAACTGATCTTGCTTGGTTTCTTTCTGCTAAGCGCGGTCCAAATAAGCAACAGATGAATACTTTGGAGACATCATAGCCCTAGCAATTTAATCGGGTGAGGCATCATGGTGTTGCCGGTGGCGATTCTTGAGAGTTAGTAACACTGTTTTCCTCCATTTAAATCCATTAAAAATGTCGATTCCAGTTCACCGAGAATCGATTGTTTTACATACATTTAAATGGAGGGGAAAACAGTGTTGCCAACTGTTAAGAATCGTTACTAGGTGTTGCCAACTTGCTGGATTCCCCTGTGTTTTTTTCGAAGAGAAAAGCTCGAAAAAATGTGGAAATATAATTTGCAGTTTGTTTTTTTTTTTTTTTTTTTTTTTTTTTTTTTTTTTTTTTTTTTTTTTTTTTTTTTTTTTTTTTTTNGGCAACCATTGTTTGAGACCATCAAACTCAGGTCGCCTGGCCGGGAATCGAACCCGGGACCTCCCGATCATAGAGCAAGCGCTACAACCACTACACCATAGGAGGCCGACAAGTGAGGTGGAGGATGGGGAATGAATTCAGACTTTCCGAATGTGCTTGTCGTGATTACATGAGCCATTTTCCGGGAGAGACAACACTTGTTTTGGCTGTAGCTGGAGTTTAATTCGCGATGTGTCACGTCATTCGTGCGTCTTTCAGTCAAAATGAGTGCAATATTTGGTTGCATCACTTGCATTTCTAATTGCAAAGCTTGGAAGTCCGCGTGCAACCCATATCTGCACGAGGAAAACACTTTTTTCATGTCCGTTTTAATCAAAATCCCGTCGATAAATGAGGGTAAAAACGCGGTGAACAGTCACGTAAAGCAGTATGAAACTGCCAAGGCTGGGCTGATTGTATAAAAGTCAGTGTCAGTGTAGACGGAAGGATGTTACTCGTTTTCCAAGTGTGCGGGATCTGAAGTACTGGTATACGATACAGGAATGTTTTTCGGGAAGTGGAGGCCCCGAGGGGCAAAGCCAAAAATGGTGTGCGTTTACTTGGTATTTTGTGCGGTGATATTTTTACTTCATCTTCACGAGAGCCTCGCTGGTAAACACACGCAGGTAGGAATGCTGCCGTATTAGAGATTTCACTCACTACAGCAGCCCGATAATTGAATCTTCGGCGATGCGGCCAGATATTCAAAATGCGCTATTGCATGCTTGAAATAGGGCTTTGTCCTGTATTAATTGTTGTGTATCGAACTTAAAAATTCAATTAGCGGTCACAGTGTAAATGCGATGAGGAATAGGTATGCAGGAACCACGCAAGAATCCGTTGACTCCAGTAGCAAATAGGTGTTTCTAACTTATACACCCCTGTAGTTAGGTCTGTCTTCCTAAATACAAGGCTCAATGGTGCGGCTTCTTGCCAACTTAAACGTAATTAAATTTCAGCAAATTCATCCATCAAAGAGATAGATAGACGTCCATAAATTTGAGGTAGGAACCATTTGCAACATTTTACAATTAGGAACTCATTTTTAGCTCATTTGATAAACAGTATATAAGTAAATAGTTTTCCTATACAAATAAGTGCTTTTGTGCATGAGCGAGACATAAAGGTTCGTGTTTAAGAGATACACTTACTAGTGGACATTTTTAGTGGACAATCGTCCTAAAATCGCGTTCGCGGTTACCAAACTGTGCTAAAAAATTAGAATATTTAGTATGAATTCTTATGAGAAGTATGCTGCTTTCCGGCTACATGTAGCAACTTTGAGACGCACCATTCGCGTAATAGTATGCATCGCGCAATCTTGAATTTCGAGAAGTTCTAGTTTCGAGAAATCTAGAAGTTCGATAGCGATCAGATTTGCAAAAAGAGCGATGGATTGCAAAAACTGTCACTCGTCTAATTAAGGAAAAAAGACAAATAAAAATTCGATAGTTAAGCTTCCAAACCACGTATCTCAGTTTTTCAACGTCGCAGACTTCCTGTCACTTTAATAGTTCAATGTAAAACTACTAAACGTTAATTTTTTTAAACTGCCGTGATCTTTCCAAGACGTTCCAAGAAAATTCTGTGAAAATTTCAAGGAATGATTTTGATTTTTTCTCCGTAAAATAATATACATGTAGAATAGGAGCAGGGATGTTAAATCACCGCAAACGAGATACATAATTTGGGAGTTTCACCGTCAAAATGCTTATAATGATTGCAATCTGGAAATGAAACAACTATTGCTGGTTCCCGTGGTTGTTCGTTTAGTTACGACAAGTTCTTTACATCTGCCCAAATTGCCAAATTTGACATTTTTTTTCTGTGTAACCTCTTTTCGGCTCTCCCGGAGATTTTGCCCCCGGAAGATAAGGTCCCTCTTCACAGATCCTGTCTCATTATTATGTATGACTTTTCATAGATTTGATAAACATTTGTTCTTGCCTTTCCAGAAGGAGCGCGACAGGACAAATAATCCCTGCCAACTTATAAGCATGAAAAAACTAAAAGGATCTCGAAATTCAAGGTGCCAAGAGGACTGCGAGAAAATGGCAAAAGAATGGAGTAACTACAAATCTACGGTTAAACAACACTATCGTAAGAAGTACGATGCTAACATAGACGCGCAAGTAGACGAAGATCTCCACGATTCTTCTTGTGCGGATTTCACCCTCGGATCTTGCAAGTATGCTACATGTACCTGCAGTCACTCCAATCCTCCCGAGAAGGTCTCAACCCACCACGAGAAGGTCCCAACTCACCACGAGAAGGTCCCAACCCACCACGAGGAGGTCCCAACCCACCACGAGGAGGTCCCAACCGGCCACGTGATTCACATATCCAGTCATTTGAAGGATTGCAGGACAAGGGCTAAAATCTTCGCTGAGGAATTTCTAAAGATTGAAAAAATTCAGCTTTAGGAAATGTAAACTCACTTTTCCAGCTTGTGCGTACCTAACGGCTCAATTGCATTGCTATACAGGGTGAGCCGAAAGTATAACTGAAAAGTGTCTATAACTTTTGAACAAAAAGAAATAAAAGATTCTGGTTTGGACCATTGCTCATTGTGGGAAGGAGCTGATTTGTTTAGGGGGGCTTATTTATGCCCCCCCCCCAAGGGAGCCCCCCTATGGAGGACAACTCGAAATTTTCAAATAGCGACCCCTCCCCCTCCCTTCGTGACGCATCTTTGGAAAGAAGATAAAAACAAAAGGACGTATTTCTGTCAAACGGACGCTAATTTGAGTTCCTGTTGAGGATAGCGGATAGCGCGTTCTGTCAAACGGAACTAAGCGCCATGGAAAATCATCAGGAGTTTAGGACGGAATTAACGAGCATCGCGTTCCGCAACACCCGCCAATCCAAGCCTCCCCTCTCCCTTCCTCTACCGATGGCGCTTAGTTCTGTTTGATAGAAATACGTTCAAAAGAATGCTCGTGCAAACTGGAGATGAATCCAACTTTTCGTTCTGGAGATATTCACGATCAAAGTTCCATTCCGACAAATTTTCGGAAAATGACAAGTCCTGTTTGAAAAATCCCAAAAAACTTAAAAATTCATAGAACAGCTATTGCTTTTATATCCGAATTATCTGAGGATG